ACCAAAGTCACTGGGAAATCTTGTAGGGTTGCCAGGTGTCCACTATTTGAGTGGACAGTCCACTTTTTTCACATTATGTTCACTATTTTTTTTCACAAAATAGTGGACATTTTTTTTATTCAAAAGCTTTATGATGAAATGGTACGTAATCTAAAGCTGTACAGTCTACTTTTTTTTACTACTTAACACCCCCTCCCCCTGCTTGTCTGCTATTTTTTGGAAGCAGACCTGGCAACCCTAAAATCTTGTAACATCTGTCAATGAATCTATTTCACAAATTTGTTTCAGGAATAAAAAGGAATGAGAAGTCCTATGTACCACCATAACCTTATTGGAGGGTTTCCTTAAATCTAATCATGTTTTAAGAACCTAGTTGTGAGTGTTTTCAAGAGTGTATTTTGCCAATTCAGTTTTAAGGCTTGACTCAGCTTCTGGGTTTCAGAATTGTCACCATATCTTTTAAAAAATGGTTTAAAGCCGCTGCTTCTCTTTTAACTGAAAAAGTGGGTAGAAACAGTTTAAGGAATGGGTGGTTAAGAAATCTTAATCCCTTCTCTTTCTTTTAGTACCAGTCTTTATCCCTTTTCTACTTTTTACAGGTTTGAAGATCTTTCTAAACAAGAAAATATGTTGATGCATTTCTAGTATAATCGTTGATTCAAGGAATCTGAGATCTGGGATGCAATTGGATAATGTGATTATATTTGTCTTATTATAGTTTGGTAGATTTTATAAATCATATGGATAAGCCCTCTCAAAATCTCCAAACTTGTCATTATGAAATATAGTGAATAGAGTCTTTTGCTCAGGAAAATAGAAAAATAGGAGTATTAATTCTTCAATAGGTTCAACACATCTATGTTATGCTAAATTTATCTCCCCTGGCTTCTCTCCAAAATAGGATCAAAAAGTATGCTTCTGTTCATCTTGTGATGTGATTGCCATTCCTCCATGTTTCGCTATTTGTTTTAAAAAATTGCCCCCATCTTCCTCCAGAGGTTGTCCTTTTTGTGGTATGAATACATATTTTAATGAGTATTTTAAATTTGAAGTATTGTCTTTTTAATAGACACTTTTCTTTCATTAACTTATTTTTTTTTCTCTAGTGGAAAGGGAAAATGTGCAGAAAAGGACTTTTACCCGATGGATTAATTTACATTTGGAAAAGGTAAGAAAGCTATATAAATATTGGTACACTGTTCGTTTCTCTGAAAAGTGAGGTCTGTAAACAGGAGAGCAGGTGAAACCTTAGGTAATTTATTTAGTACCTTAGCCATCTTTGGTGAATCTAGAAAGCTAATCAAGGACAGACCCTGCTAGTACTTGAATAAGGAACTGTTGGCTAGACAGGTCTAGAACAACTTGTTGTGGCCAACTCACCACGGCCACCTCGCCATGGCCAATTGACACAGCCAACTCAACATGGCCAACTTACCATGGCCAACTCGCCATGGGATAACTTATCATGGTCAGTATGCCTTGGAACAACTCCCACAAGACAAGAGTTACACTAATATCAAAGAAATGGAGGAATAGAATCATTAAAGAAAGTATGCCAAAGAAAGGACAAAATGAAATGTGAATGACAAAAATTTAAATATTTTTAAATTATTTTGAATAATTAAATTGAATTGTTAACTTTTCCTGCAGTGAGTTATCCCTCAGCAAGTTGGCCATGGTGAGTTGGCCATGGCAAGTTGGCCATGATGAGTTGTCCCATTCTGGACTAGACTTAGAAGTTAAAAAATATTCAGAAGACGACAATGCTAAATCACTACCGTAATGTTGCTAAGAAAATTCATAAATACTATCCCAAAGAATCAAGTTTAATTTGCTTCTGTTCTTAAAAAATGCCAAAGACACTTTTAAATACAGTGAAGACAAAAAGCTGATGGCCTCCCAGCAAATTTGAGATATTTACTTAAGAGCAGTATTTTTCAAAGTTGGCATGTTTAAGACGTATGGACTTCAACTCCTAGAATTCCCAGCTAGGAATAAATAAAAGCTTATTTATAAAGGCAAAATAATGGGTCAGTTCTAGATGGACTCCAGAGATCTTTTTTTCCTTCCATTCAATTATGTCTGATTCTCAGAGACTTCCTGACAAATGGCAGTAAAGAAATACAAACAACTATTTGCTATCCTATATTGATTGTTTGTATTTTTGCAACCTAAATATGATAGTCCTAAAAAATCATAGAAATTTTTCACATCAGTAATTGCTAATGATTCAAATCCATTGAAATTGCTAAATAACTTAATATCTGTGGACAATAAGCAAACATTTGTTTCTGTTACAGGATATACTGTAATTTTTTGATAAGCCTCTGTGTGAAGTTCCTTTTTTTCAAAGATGCCTCCTCGCCAAAAAATTGCAAAATGCCCTAATTAAACTCAAATATTTCCTTTGTTTCCTAAAGATTGCCAGTTTTACTCTCAGAGGTTTTGTTTGACACGGTTTTTTTCTTCTGGATGGGGATTGACTGATTTGATTGATATAGACCAGGGATGTCAAACTGCTGGCCCCTGGGCCGGTTTCATCATACCAAATCCGCGCCCACCCCATTACCGGCAATGCAAAAAGAGTCATGATACGTCACGACAGATCATGTGACGTGGCGAGTTTGACATCTGTGATATAGAGGGATGCACACTCCAAAGCTATTATTAAATTATTTCCCTTTTTCCCCACAGTGTAGCCCCCCTCTGGAAGTTAAAGATTTGCTGGTTGATATTAAAGATGGCAAAATTCTGATGGCATTACTGGAAGTGCTGTCTGGACAAAATCTGGTATGTATAATATATACTGTAGGACTGAATTTATGATAAAATAAAACTTGGTAGATTTCTGTTTTCTAAAAGGATCTGAAATGTTTCCTAAGCCAGACAGGTACAACCAGAATGGATCCTGGGTTTCGTGCAATTAATGTAACTGCACCAACATAGCAAGTGTTAGAAAGTGTGTATTGTCAACCCTATCCTATCCATGTTTTCTTCCAAGTGGGTACACTTAAGATCATATATGAGTGAATCTGACCTAACCAAAAGGAAGTGTAGTGGAGTTGGGGTGAGAATGGGGCCAGCTGAGAGGAGGAGACTAACCACCATCATTCTGAGCAAGTTGTTGCCACCAGAGACTGGCTACCATTGTTTTAGGCAAGTTGCTGTCACCTGAGACTGACCGTCATCGTTCTAGGCAAGTTACCATCACCAGAAGCTGATTAACATCATTGTGGGCAAGTTGTTGTCATTAGAGATTGATTACCATCTTCCCTGTAAGTTCTTATTGCCTGAGATCAACCACCATCCCAAGTGAGTCAACGTTGAGAGAGAGCGACCATCACCGACCATCAACGCTGCAAACACTGTATATTCTTGCTTTGACAATATGCAGAACTGTCTGGTATTTTTAGGGTTAATGCAGAGCAAAAGAGAGTGGGGGGGAAAAGCCGGGAAAGAAAGAGGAAGGAAAACCTTTGACCTTCACACTAATTGGATAATGTGACATATGACAAGGGAACATGCTGAGAAATTAATTGCTCAGAGGAAGAGAATTTAGTTCTTAGCATCCCTTCGGTGTGCCGACATGTTGTAACCTAAATAAAAGACTTTTTAGGAAAACAATGCCTGGAAGTTCTTTGAAGTGTTTCATTAGTCGGAACCTGACACATGGCTGCCGATCGTGACTGAATACCACCATGTTACATGCCCTGTTAGGCAGAGGCACCAACATGAAAGACATCTTTGGGCTGGTGGCCACTTGGAGGGGAGGTCGGGAGGGTCCGGACTTAAGTGGTCCCTACAGGGGTGGCGCTACACATGGGGGCTCATCTGGGATGTCCTGTCCGGCCTTCCCCTTTGGAGGAGGGGTCTCACATAGGGATATGAGCCAGGTGAGCAAAATGGACCCCACCATCATTACTAAGTGGTGTGAGGACCAGAATAGTTAGGTAAAGTTGAGTGTAATAATTAGTTTATTAGTTTAGTTTATTGTATTTATATCCCGCCCTTCTCCTTGCGGACTCAGGGCGGCTAACAGGCTGATAAAACACATACAAAATATCAAATACTATAGTTAAAAACATAATTAAAAGAAAATATTAATGCTTGGCCTATATTTAATTTAAAATTATTTTAAAACCCGGCTAAAAATTTCCCCTAGGCCAGTCCTGCTAGCTGAA